TGTGCTGGGCTAGGTGCCCGTGTGTAGTGATTCCCCCTTCGGGTGATCCCACATGTGTATTCTTCCATGGTATGGCTCCCCTCACAGTAAGCCCGTGTCTTTCCCTGCAGACATTCTATGCCATCTCTGCTGCGTAGTGATCTCACCCCAGGCGGGCTGAGTCTATCGCAGGGATTTCCATATGTAGCACTGCCCTATGGCCAGTCCATATGTGTACTTCCACATGATACCTCTTATACGCAAGATGTGGCTTCCGTAGCATTCCCCTACTTGGGTACGCTTTCCCAGTGTTATCCAATATCCCACTGTACGGAACAGCAGTGGTGGACACCTCTGCCTAAGCCCTGTCCTTCTTCCGCCCCAACTGGTGTGGGGGGACTTGCTGGCTTTCGCAGGGCACTATACATGTATATATATATATATATATATATATATATATACACATATTTATATAATATTTTACACTAGCACTGTAAAATTGTGGTAATAAACCCTTATACAATTACATTAGAAATGTTTACTGTTCTATAAAAAAAATGTTTTTTTTTTTTATCTTTTATGAAATTAATAAATACATTATTTTATAAAATGTTTTTAATATTTTTTTTTTTATAGTTTTTTAGTATTTTTCTGTAGTACTGTAAAACACTGGTCACAAACCCCCCTATTGCACTTACATTAGGATTGCGATATGAATTGCACATCTTATGTCTGTTGCTTAATCAAACCAAAAATACATACAATTCACAATGAAACAGCAGTTATGTTGAACCACAAACATGCAAGCAATGCCTTTTTTGTCTCCAAATGAAGTTGTGCATATTATAATTAATAAAGTTATAAAGCACAACTCTGTCTGAACTCACCTGAACCCTTTGCAGTGAAGCAGAAATGCTGATCTTCTTCTCATTGTCTATCACACCAAACACCACAAATGCAGTGCCTCTCACCTTATTACCAAACAGGTACCTAAATAAACAAATATACTTATCAAACATTTGAGAACAATCCTTGTGATAAATCTTTAAATAACAGGTGTGGTCACAGAAATATAAAGCACATATGAAATATGCAATAAAAACGAGACTACTTAAGAGTACTAAATTGGAGTAGTGTGCACAGTCAAACAGATCAATTAAAGTTCTCGTACTTAGCTGATATGTCTACTGTCAGAGAGTGCTCATTCACATAGAAGAATGATTTGTGTGGATTTAAGGTCACTTCAAAGCTCGGCAGCACTACAAAAAAAACCCAACAAATTTCAGCCATTCTTCAATATTTCCTTCAACTTTGCCAACATCATTTGTTCTCCAGAGGAGGCAATAAACGTACCATATTCCATAACTTCAAATTCAGTGGTGAAATTCTTTTGTGGTGTGTTTGTGTACTTTGCGATCAACTTCCAAATCCCAGCGCTTCAAAACAGAATGTGCAGAAAACACAAGCGTCTTACTAACAGAGAACACCTGCATTATGACTGAATGGTGCATTTCAACAATAAACAAACCTGGCAAGTTCAGGTAATGCAAAGTTTTCGGTCCTGATGCCTTGCCTTGGCTGGAATTGATCTCTGTCCAGTGTGATGCCTTGAGGATTCTTGTTAAACAGTAAAAATTCAGTTTTTTTTTCCCTCGACAGTGGTGGGGTAATTTCGGTGCTTGTTACAGCATACAAGATGGTTTAGTTATTTAACGTAGTGATGCACCAAAATTTTACCAACTGAAAATATTTGGCAAAAAAATGAATTTTCAGTTTGGTCTGAAACAGTTACGGAGGGCCGAAATCTTTGACCGAAATGGTGATGCTTAATTAGTTCTTCTCTAGTGCCTTTAATTTCAGCTTCGGTAAAAATTCCTTTCAGTGCATCACTAATTTAGTCTATGCTTGAATATACAGCATTTATTTCCATACCATGATATCGACCGCGATGAAGATTCCATCAAATGGGTGTTGATCAGGAGTTAAGGAGAAGATCCTGTAATTAACTGGAAAAAATAATCGTTACATCAAATATTTCTATGTGCACTACAGTTTGATTTTATGTAAAACTTTATGCATGTATCCTATTGTCGTGATGCGACTGCATGGTGACAGCAAACGTCTTCTTTAAAAATAATTTTTATACAGCTAAGAAATATATCAATTATTTATAAATTATAAATATAGATTAAATTATAAAATATAAATTGAGAAATTATTATAAATTATAGTAAAAGTTTATCGTTAGAATATCCAGTAATACAGCACTGAATGCAACAACACGATTTTTCAAAACCATTTTAAAGTCTTTAATTTTATAAGCCAATTAAAAAGCATTGTGACCCATGCCTAAAATAAACCTAAATCGTACCTGTGCTAGCAGGTGTGTAGATGGGCTTGTCTGTTTGGACAAATAGATATCCAGTCTGGAATGAGAGCAGGACCACTTTCTCCAGAGTGATGGATGGAAACTGAGCTTGTAGATACACATACTGCTTCTCCAGAGGATCGTCAGAGAACAAGTTCTGATCATCAGGGATCTGTAGAACATATAACCAGTCAGTTATAACGGTTCATAAAATAAATGAGACATCACTGCACTGTAATTACTGCACTCTCACCTTTATATCTGTAAGGATCTGGAAATTGTTGGCTGCAGTCAGTGTCACTGATTTAGACAGTATATCCAGGTTCTTCTTCGGATGATTCTTTACTATGATCCTAACGTTCAGGTCTCCTCCAGTGTAATCCTGAGCCTCCACAAACAGCTTCTCTGAGGAACCCACCCTCAGCAGATTAGGAGCCGACAGAACATGCCTGACAAATCAATACTTAAGATTTACATTTGTCTAGCAGAAGGAGCATTTTCATGAATTCCAGAAACCTCCTTTCTGGAGGTTTAAAAAAAATTATGTACTTACAGTGGGGCACATATTGTGAGCAAAGGGAAGCAAAGAACGATGGCAGTCAGCGTCACTATGTCCACATGCATCATGTTCATCATCTGGCTGCATTAGTAACTAGAAGCGGAGCACTGTTTCGACTTTTATCATTCATCTACGTCCCTCCCCGTTTCAAGACATCATCGTTCTCAGAACTAACTGTTGAGTAACTAGGATGGAGAAACTGGAGTATGATCAAGCAGAAGAGCGGCTAGTGGTGCGTATTTATGTTGTGCAACTCCATTTAATTGAAAAGCGTTAGTTAAGACAACTGTGTGTCCTCCACCCAGTTTCACAACACACTTTGTCTAGTCTAGTTTTCAAATAAAGTGTGACATGGCAAAACAAACCCACCAGTGCAAGCTTCAGTTGCTTATTTCCACATTCTTCTGTCCATTTCTTGCTGAAGGATGAAGGTGCGAGGAAGCATCATTTAGGATATTAAGAAGCACCCAACTGTCAAAATGTCAACAGTCTTTGTCAGTTTGAGAAAAATGTACTCAAACACACTTGCATAACAGTTAACTTGAGTGCTAAAAATGTGTCACTCAAAATAATTGCCTATTAACCTAAACCATTTGGTCCATTGATTAAAGAGATGATGACATTAAAACCAGTCATGTACTAAATTGTTTCAGTCAGTTTTTAAATAGTTTGCTCTCATTATGCAATTAGAGAAAGTCTAAAATGCATTGAAACATGCAACTACAAGCTATTATTTACTTCTTTTTTTACAATAAATGAAAGAAGTTGATGTTTGGTGGAAACTTTTTGCACCTTAGACTTTGCTGACTTCCTGATTTCTCAAGTTATTTCACAAAAGTATTTGTATCTTACTATGCAAACCCACAGTTAACCTGAAATTATGAACCACAATTTCTCAATAGGCAAAGAGTCAGTAAAATTGTATGTAAGACGAGCTCTCCAAAATAACAGAATAGTATATTTTTTTGCTTGATTGTCTTGCAAAACGAAATTAGAAACATCAATCTGTCCACCACATTGATTTTTTTCTTTATTATTTCTTTATGTATTTATTTATTAAATATTCTAAATCTAAATATTCCCTCACAGTTTAATAGTAATGACTTTATGAATTTCTTCACTGATAAAATAGATAACATTGGAAATACAATAACAAATGCAGATTCTACAGCATATAATACTTCAGCTTCATTCATCGCACCAAAATATAAACTGCAGTGCTTTACAACTATAGGACAGGAAGAGCTAAATAAACTTATCACTGCATCTAAACCAACAACATGCCTGTTAGATCCTCTACTCACTAAATTACTAAAAGAGTTGTTACCTTTAGCAGAATATCAATATTATTAACTCGTCGTTGTCTTTAGGTCATGTTCCAAAACCATTCAAGCTGGCGGTTATTAAGCCTCTTATTAAGAAACCACAACTAGATCCTAGTGAACTGGCAAATTACAGACCCATTTCAAATCTTCCGTTTATGTCTAAAATTTTAGAAAAAGTTGTGTCTGCTCAATTGTGCTCCTTCCTGCACAAAAAAATGATCTCTATGAAGAATTTCAAGTGCACAGAAACTGCACTTGTTAAAATGACAATTGACTTGCTTCTT